CCCCCCCCCCCCCCCCCCCACTGAAGACTAGAAAATGACCATCTTTACAGTGCTTGAGCATCAGAAAACCTTGGTCCACTTTGAGATGCCTTGATTCTGTGGGAACATAGTTAGAAGACCCCCACTTTTTATGGTGAATCAGAGTCCTTCCTGGTGGTGTTTCCAGGAAGTTGCATAAATATTCCAATTCTCTCTTTAATAGCAGAGATAATGGGAGGGACAAGGAGTAGTACTACCAATAGGGGTTTTTGGTGCTAATGCTGGCAGAGGGACCATCAGTCTAATGCTGAAGCTTCTTGTGATTTCAGTATTGGGGGAGCTTTCAGAGTCAAGAGTTGAGTGGCAGTCAAGAGTTAGTGATGTGGAGATGGACGCTCAAATGGGCCTTCAAAATGAAGTTAAGAATGACAAACAACTTAATTTTTTAAATGGCCAAAAGATTTGAACATATGTTTCTCTAAAGAAGATAATCAAATATACTCACATGAAAAAATGCTCAAGTATGTGTGCTAAGTTGCTTCAGTCACATCTGACTCTTTGTGACCCCAGGGACTGTAGTCCACCAGGCTCCTCTGTCCATGGGATCCTCCAGCAAGAATACAGGAGTGGGTTGCCATGCCTTCCTCCAGGGGATCTTCCTGACCCTCCCTTAGTCTCCTGTGGCTCCTGCATTGCAGGCAGATTCTTTACCATTCAGCCCGATTTATTAGTCATTAGGGAAATGTCAATTACAATAAGATAACACTTCCTACCTGCTAGGATGACTATAATCAACCAGCTAAACAACAGTAAATATTGACAAGGATGGGGAGAAATGGAATTTTCATACATTGTAGGTAGGATTGTAAAATGGTACAATCACTCTGGAAAACATTTGGCAGTTTCTCAAAATGTCAAACCTCACAACCCAGCAATTTCACTCCTAGAAAATTGAAAATATATGTCCACAGAAATATTGTACACATATGTTCATAGCAGGATTATATTTTTTAAAAGTAGAAGCATCCAAAATGTTCATCAGTTCATGAATGGATAAACAAATGTGATACATGCACACAAAGGAATATTATTTGGTTATAAAAAGGAATGAAATGTTAATACATAATGCAACATAGATGAACTTTAAAATATCAAGCTGAATTTACAAGAGGGAAGTTTATAGAGATACAAGCTTACCTCAGGAAACAAGAAAAATAAAGATCAGAGCAGAAATAAATGAAATAGGGACTAAAAAAACTTAGAAAAGATCAATGAAACTAAGAGCTGGTTGTTTGAAAAGATAAACAAAACTGACAAACCTTTAGCCAAACTCATCATGAGAAAAGAGAGAGGGCCCAAGACAATAAATCAGAGATAAAAAAGGAGAAGTTATAAACACACCACAGAAATACAAAGGATCATAAGAGATTACTACAAATAGTAAATGCCAATAAAAACAGACAGTCTTGAAAAAGGGGACAAATTCCTAGAAATGTACAATCTCCCCAGACTGAACTAAGATGAAACAGAAAATATGAACAGATCAATGGCTAGTAATGAAACTGAATCAATAATTTTAAAATTCCCAAGAAACAAAAGTTCAGGACCAGACGGTTTCACAATAAATTCTACCAAACATTTAAAGAAGAGTTAACATATACCCTTCTCAAACTATTTCAAAAAACTGCAGAAGAAGAAATGCTTTTAAACTCAGCCTAAGGCCAGAGTTACCCTGATACAAAAAACTGAAGATATCACAAGAAAAGAAAATTACAGGCCAATTCTGATGAACACCAGTGGACAAACCCTCAACAAAATATTCACAAACCAAATCCACAATACATTAAAAGGATCATATACCATGGTCAAATGGGACTTATCCAAGACATGCAAGAATGGTTCAAGATCTGAAAGCCAATCAATGTGATACACCACATTAACACACTGAAGATAGAAAACACAAAAGCACAAAAGATGCATAAAAACTTTTGATAAAATTCAACATCCAGTTGTGATTTAAAAAAACTCCTCAGAAAGTGGGTATAGAGGGAACATACTTGAACATAATGAAGGCCATATATATAATAAGCTCCACAGCTAACATCATACTCAACAGTGAAAAGCTGAAAGCATTACCTCTAAAATCAGGAACAAAGCAAGGATGCCCACTCTCACCACTTTTATTCAACATAGTATTGGAAGTCCTAATCACAGCAATCCTACAGGAAAAATAAGTAAATGGAAGCGTTCTGGTCACTGTTAAGATCAGAGGTGGGGTAAGACAGCTTGAGGGTGTAGAGGAGAGGAAGAGTTTGAATCACTGAAACCAGTCAGAAGGCCATCAGAGAAACCCAGGTAACACATGGTGGAGGGAGGGGCACACCATTGTGGAGAGAGTGGTGGTGTTTAGAAGCTCTTAGATCTTGAATATTTTTGACTGCTTATTTCATTTTAAAATTTATTTCTTGTGCATATATTGACTTATTGCCACTTGTATAAAATTTAGATAATATATGCATCTTGCTTTCTTTATCACTTATCAATAAATTGTGGAAACTCCACCAAATCTCCTAGTAAAAACTTGATTATTTTAGTGGCAGTGTGATACCCCTTGATGAAAGTACTGAAATGTATTCAACTGTTAATGGTTGAATGTAAATTAACTATGAATGTTAAATGTCACCTATATTTATAGGTATTCACTTCATTTCCACTATTTTTGCCTCTGAAAAATGCTAGATTATATACATATTATTATTACAACTGTTTTTACTTATATGGGATAGATTTCAAAAGAATTGTACTGCTGGGCTCAATGGTACATGCAATTACAATGTTATATTATGAGAAATTTCAGACATACACAAAATAGAGATAATAATATAACATAATGAACCTCCATGTACCCACCATGCCGCCTCAGCAATTATCAGAACATGAACAATCTTGTTTCACTTAAATACCCTCCCCCTTCTCCTTCTTTCCACCCCCAATACACACTGGATTATTTTGAAGCCGTCTGGATATATTTTTAAGGTAGAGACAAGATTTCCTAGCATACAGGATGAGGCATGTAAGAGAAAAAGAGGAGTCAAAGATTGTTCCAAGATTGTTGGACTGGGCAGCTGAAAGACTAGTGTGGGCATCAGTTAAGATGGAGAGGACTAGGGGTGAGGGAGGTTTGGGGAGGAAACATTTGGTTTTGGACAGGTTGAGTCTGTGACTGATTAGGCAGTTAAGTGCAGATGTCTAGGGGTCAGTGAAATAAATGGACCTGGAGTCTGAGAGAAAGTAAGTGCCTGGAGACATAAATTTTGGGACCACTGACATGTCTCATGCTTGGATGGTATCATCAGGAAACGAGTGTAGGTAGAATAAAGAAGACCAAGCTTCATGGCCTCTGTGGACAGCAGAATGTGCATGTGCTCAGTTGTGTTGACTCATTGTGACCCTATGGAATGTAGCCTATTAGGCTCCTTTGTCCATGGAATTTTTCAGGCAAGAATACTGGAGCTGTTGTCATGTCCTTTTCCAGGGATCTTCCCAACCCAGGGAATGAACCTGAATCTCTTACATCTCCTGCATTGGTAGGCAGATTCTTTTACCATTGTGCCACTCGAAGAAGTCCAAACCCCAGAGCCTGTGAATATGTTACTTTACATGCAAAAGGGATTTTGCAGTTGTGATTAAAGTTAAGAACCTTTACATGGAGAGATTGTCCTAAGTGAATGGAAGTGAAAGTGTTAGTCATTCAGACTCTTTGCAACCCTGTGGACTGTAGCCTGCCAGGTTCCTCTGTCCATGGAATTCTCCAGACAAGGATACTGGAATGGTTGCCATTCCCTTTTCCAGGGGATCTTCCTGACCCAGGGATTGAACCCGGGTCTCCTGCATTGCAGGCAGATTCTTTACCATCTGAGCCACTAAGGAAGTGTCAGATTGTCCTAAATTATCCAGATGAATCCAAACTAATCACATTGTATGGTCAGGCCACTCAAGATAGCTGTTCTCTTGCTTTCCTTACATCTCCTGCTTGACCAGCGGCTGCTTCACCTACACCCTACTCACATGACTGACCTTACTACATACTAGCCCTGGCCTGGTTAGTGATTGTTTGAACTTTTAGATCAGAATATCTCCACCATGATAGCTTAACAAAGGGGTGGTAAGGGGCATCCCCCTCTGCTGGTTTCCTGAGTAACCAATGAGCCAACCTGACATCAGTTCACCCTATAACTGGCACAGGAAATGCAACCTACTCCAGTATTCTTGCCTGAGAAATCCCAGTGGTTAGAGGAGTCTGGCGGGCTACAGTCCATGGGGTCACAAAGAGTCAGACATGACTGAGCGTCTGAGCAGCGGCTCCTACATGAAGGGGTGGAGGAAGCAGCTGACAGCTCTGACTGAGAAGCAGCCAGGTGGATAAGGTGGATAAGAGGAAACCAACGGTGGGAAGATGGTGTCCCAGAAACCAAGGAGGTAGCAGGAGCCTGGGCCGTGTGATGCTGATCAGTCTAATAGAAGGCAGAGACGCTGCCATTGGACTTAGGAATGTGGTGGGTAATTCTCTGGAGTTTTCTGCAACGGGGAACAAAGATGTGGGATGAAATTTAGGAGATGTTTGTTGTCACTTTTTTTCAATGGAGCAGTGGGACTTCCCTGGTGGTCCAGTGGTTAAGAACCCACTTCTCAATGCAGGGATCACGGGTTTGATTCCTGGTGGGGCACCTAAGCCCGTGTGAATAGAGCAGTCACATGAGAAGTCACCATGCCACAGCTACGGAGCCCATGCACTCAAGAACCCACGAATGGCAACTACTGAGCCTGAATGCTCTGGAGCCCATGCCCCACAAGAGAAGCCCGAGCACCACAATGAAGAACCAACACAGCCAAGAAATAAAAATCAAATGGGAGAAGAAGCAGTATGTTTGTAAGCTGGTAGGAGTGAGGAAGAAAGTGAGAAATGAAGAGAGAGGGATACTAGATGGAGGGCTATTTCTGAGAAGAGAACAAGCTGAATCAGCTTTTCTGGAAAGAGACGTTCAACAGGTGGAAAAGCAGAGCCTTGGGTGTTAATGCAGGCAGCTATGTGGCAATTTTGCCAGGAGTCTGTGACCTTCTCTTCTGTTTGTATCGTCTCCTCAGTGAGGTAGAAGGTGGGGCTGGGGCTGAGGAGGTCCGAGGAGAGAGAAGACGTAGAAAATTCCCTAGGAGAATGGCAAACACCATGAAGAGGTGGTATTGTTAGTCGCTAAATCATGTTTGCCGCTTTTGTGACCCCGTGGACAGTAGCCTGTTAGGCTCCTCTGTCCACTCGACTTCCTAGGCAAGAATACTGGAGTCGGTTGCCATTTCCTTCTTCAGGGGATCTTCCCGACCCAGGGATTGAACCCACATTTCCTGCGTTGGCAGGAGGACTCTTTACCACTGAAACACCTGGGAAGCCATGGATGAGAGAAGCATAGTATAACTGCCAGGCAGCATTCAAGACCCACTTAAGGTTCACTTACTTCCAAAGGGAAATAAATAAAATGGAAAGAATCTAAAAATAGATCTGCAAAGAGCAGGTTTCCCCTGATGCTAGATCTCTAATTCCCCATTCACATTCTTCTGACGGAGGCTGTGAGCATTCAGTCTTGAATTCTCTCTTAGCAACTTTTTGGCCTCTTCTCATGGGGCCTCTGGGCTCAGCATTGTTAGCCGCCTCCCTGGAGCTAGTCTGCTGAATATCCTGTTCAAGGCCAGATGAAACAATTTTTCTGTTTCCAGCTGTACCACACCCTTTGGCGACCTCCCACTGAGTTCTGATTTCTGGTCTAGACAAGACCCTTCTTTTTTTTTTTTTTGCTCATTTGCATAGTAGAGATTATTGACATCAGCCAGATCCCAGTGAGTGCACAAACCCGTCTCAGCCCAGGTTCTCAGCTTCAGCACCAGCCTCAGCACCAGTCCAGGCTCCTCTCCCAGGTGGCATCTTCCTTTTCTTTGGAAAATATCATGTGAAATCTCACACCTGAGTAACAAGGATATACCCCCTGTAGAAATGATACAGTGATCACCATGGGTGCTTCTCTCCTAGATCTTGAGCATTCTGGGGGGCGGGGGTGGCGAGTGGGAAGTAAGCATAACTAAGGAGGGGAAGGGGGATGAAGTGCTTATTAAAAAGGCAAAGTCAGGGACTTCCTTGGTGGTCCATTGGTTAAGACTCTGTGCTTCCAATGCAGGGAGTGTAGGTTTGGTCCCTAGTTGAGGAATCAATATCCCACACTCCGTGGCACTGCCAAAAAAAGAAAAATAGAGGTTAGGTCAAAGGCAATCTGTTCTAATCCAATTTGGTCACATTTTGGCTATGTAGGACCGAGGTGTGTGTGCGTGCTCAGTCATATCCGACTCTTTGCCACGCCATGGACTATAGCCCACCAGGCTCCTCTGTCAATGGAATTTTCCAGGCGACTGTACTGGAGTGGGTTGCCATTTCCTTCTCCAGAGGATCTTCCCAACCCAGGGATAGAATCTGAATCTCTTGTATCTCCTACATTGGCAGGCAGATTCTTTATCACCACCTCAGAAGCCCTAGGACTGGGGAGGTAAGTTTATTAAGAAGGGAAAGACCTAGAAAGGTCACTGTAAAATTGGGGAAGATATTTTTAGATACATAGGTGAAGTCTTCATTTTCCATGGAAGCTTCCAGAATTGCCTGCTTTGGGCTCTGCTCCATTTAGAGTCAACTATTTTCTGTTTCATCTGGAGGAAAGCTCCTTTGCTACCTTCATAATCCCATTCACCCATTCCCTCTGCCAAAGAGCCCTCTTGCCTTAATCACTAACTTCAAAACTTTTTTTTCAGACTTCAAATTTTACCTCCTTTATCATCTTTGGTTTTTTCAGCCAGAAGTTTTCTTAAGCTTCTTCATAAGCTCTTAAAGCAATGTAATTTTTATTTTATTTATTATCACCCTGATGAAAGTGAAGTGAAAGTGTTAGTGGTTCAGTCATGTCTGACTCTCTGTGACTCCTTGGACTGTAGCCCAGCAGGCTCCTCTGTCCATGGGATTCTCCAGGCAAGAATACTGGTGTGGGTTGCCATTCCCTTCTCTAGGGGATCTTCCTGACCTAGGGATCAAACCCAGGTCTCCTGCACTGCAGTCAGATCTTTACTATTTGAACCTTCAGGCACAAAGTAAATGCTATCAACCTACTAAGGAGCCTTTTTTAGACTCCCCTCCCCACCCCCAGTAACCTTGCTCTTGCAAAGGAACCATAAGACTGCAGAGTCAGGGTGTCCAGGAGAAGGCTAAGACTCTAGGATTTTAAAATCATGGTAATAAGAAGGATGCAATACAAGTCACATGGCTGAAGAATTGGCATACTGGATTCTGTCCATAGGGTTCCAGTTTCTTTGACTCCTTCTTTGACCAGAAGACCATTCTGGTCCCAGGGGGACCAGACAGATGGTCCAGGGACACCGGCTCAGATGTTAGATGGAAGGCACAGGAGAACTAGGAGGAACTCACAAAATACAGAAGGGTTCAGTATTAGAAAATCATTACAAAAATCTTAAATTTCAAATCATATAAGCAAGAGATGGATCACAGGACTTTGTTGGTGATCCAGTGTTTGAGACTCCACCTGGCCAATGCAAGGGCACAGGTTCAATCTCTGGTCCAGGAAGATTCCACATGGCACAGGGCAAATAAACCCATGCACCACAACTATAGTTGTGTCTACAACTACAGAGTCTGCAGTCTAGAGCCCAAGAGCCACCATTACTGAGCCCATGTGCCACAACTATTGAAGCCCTTGTGCCCTAGAGCACATGCTCTGCAACGAGAGAAGCCTGCACTCTGCAAACAAAGTAGCCCCCTCTCACTGCAACTGGAGAAAGACTGTGCACAGCAAGGAAGACCCAGTGCAGCCAAAAATAAATAAATAAACAAACCTTTTAAAAAAGAGATGGATTACAAAGTATTATTCACACTACAGAAGTACCTTAAAGCAGGGGTCCCCAGTTCCCAGGCCATGGACAGGTACGGTTCCTGTTAGGAATCGGGTCACACAGCAGGAGGTAAGCGGTGGGCCAACTTCCTCTATATTTACAGCTACTCCCCATCACTCACATTACTGCCTGAGCTCTGCCTCCTTTCAGATCAGTGGTGGCATAATAAATGTAATCCACTTGAATCATCTTGAAACCATCCCCCACTCCCACCTATGGTCCATGAAAAAAGTGCCTTCCATGAAACCTGTCCTTGGTGCCAAAAAGGTTGGGGGCCACTGCCTTAGAGTATGCCTTTGGATAATAGTATAGTGAAGGGCAATGAAAATAGAATTTGACTTACAGAAAATATACACAAATTCTGAGAAACATTCATTATACTAAACGTAATACACTAGACAGTTCAGTCACTCAGTCGTGTCCGACTTTGTGACCCCATAGACTGAAGCACACCAGGCTTCCCTGTCCATCACCAACTCCTGGAGTTTACTCAAATTCATGTCCATTGAGTTGGTGATGCCAGTCAACTACCTCATCCTCTGTCATCCCCTTCTCATCCTGCCTTCAATCCTTCACAGCATCAGGGTCTTTT